GGAAAATCGATTTTCTGACATGTTAAGAAATCGATTTTCCGACTTTATGGAAAATTGATTTTTTATAATATTGGAAAATTGGTTTTCTATTTTGAGGCATTGACTTGTATTTACGTTGAGGTGACTTTCTGTCATGTTGAAATATTGACTTTCTGTCATGTTGAGATATTGACTTTCTGTCATGTTGAGATATTGTTCTTCTGTCATGTTGGGATATTGACTTTTTGTCATGTTGGAATATTGATTTTCTGTGTTGATGTCGCCATCGTGGAGATTGATGATGTTATTGTCGTATAGGTTGATGGGATCGCTGATGTTACTGTCGTATGGGTTGATGGGATCGCTGATGTTACTGTCGTATGGGATGGGATTGCTGATGTTACTGTCGTATGGGTTAATGGGATCGCTGATATTACTGTCGTATGGGTTGATGGGACCGCTGATGTTACTGTCGTATGGATTGATGGGACCGCTGATGTTACTGTCGTATAGGTTGATGGGATCGCTGATTTTACTGTCGTATGGGTTGATGGGATCGTTGATGTTACTGTCGTATGGGTTGATGGGACCGCTGATGTTACTGTCGTATGGGTTGATCGGACCGCTGATGTTACTGTCGTATGGGTTGATAGGACCGCTGATGTTACTGTCGTATGGGTTGATGGGATCGTTGATGTTACTATCGTATGGGTTGATGGAATCATTGATGTTACTGTCGTATGGGTTGATGGGACCGCTGATGTTGCCGTCGGTGTTGCCGCCGTAATGGTCGTCGGTTTTATGGTTTTCGTTGTGGTCGTTGTCAAAGTCATGGTTGTCGTTACCTTCATAGGGAAGGGGGGCTCCAATACAGCCGTCGATGTTGTCATTGTTAGGGTTATCGCTGCTATTTCCACTCCCACAAGAGTTGACGTTGTTACTTTTGATCGATTTACGATTAGTTTTCCCTTTAGGTGGTCCCCTTTTTTTACTGGGCTTGCTAAAGTGACAACCTAAATTTCGGTTTTGACAGTTCGTGCATATGGGTCCTCCCTCACACCTAATCTTTTTATCCCTGCAAAAGTCGCAGGCAAGTGTGGTGTTTTTACGTTCGTTTTTAGTCATTTAGGACTTTAGATGATGAGTTTTAAAAAAAGGAGAAAAATTCTGGTAGCAAAATTTTTTTAAGCTTATATAAAGAGGTTGATGTTATTATTTCCTATTTGGAAACAATTACATAAGAACGGAATAAGTGAAGTCGCTAACCGTTTTAGGTTTTTATTAATTGATAACATGTAAACGCGCAGCATCAGGTGTTGCCTATTTATACTTTTTTGTTTGTGCAAAAAAACATTATAGTCGGAGTTATTGTACAGTACGCACGTTAAAGGGTATAATAGGTTAGTGAGATTTCTATATAATTTTTAATTAAATTTTTCAAAAATTTAATATAAAAAACTTAATTTATTTATTAAATAAAAATTATAAAACGTTCATTGTTAAAAGTAATTTTATACAAAATTATTTTAATGTTATTATTTAAGCATTATTTAACAATTTTTTTTAAGAATTTTATTACAGTATAATTTATATTATATATTTCTTTTTAAAAAACCCTTTTTTTTATATAAATATTAATACATTATTTATTATTTTATAAGTAATAAATTTACATTTACTTTATTAAAAAAAACATGAGACGTACCTTATCTTATACACATATATCCATAATAAATTTGTTTTTTTTTAATATATGATCAATTTGTATATTTAAATTTAATAAGTATTTATCGATCTAATCGCAATATATGATAATAATAATATAAATTTTGAATTAATTAAATCAAAAGATAATTAGTATATTCAAATAAAATCAAGTAAAATAAAAAATTTTTATTTTGATTAACATAAAAGCACGAAATTTACTGATATACAGTATACAGTATGTGGAAAAATACACGGTAATTTAGATTAACAACGTTCCTAATATTGTTAATAATTGCATAATTACGGTATATAGACTAATGATTATCTGCGTGGAAATGATTTTAATTTCCCAGCGTTACTGTAGTTATAAAGAATTGGAAAGTTGGTTAATATTAAAATACGAACCGGTGAATTTATTCAGTACAAAACGCAGGAAATTCTTAAAAAACTTACTTCCATGGCTCTTTTAAAAGCGGTGATACTATGAGATAAATAAAGTTGTGGAGACTCTAGATGTTTTCTTTTAAATACAGTAATTCATCTTGGTCGTCAATGGTAACTTCGGTTCCCCAAAAAACATTAAAGAAGTCTTCTTGGCGGTAAACCTTAAGAACCGGACCATGGATCTCCATTACATATTCATATTTATCTTTTATATTTAAAAATCGATTTACTATGTCGAAAAATTGATTCATCATATTGTTATATCGAACTTCTGTCATGTTGAGATATTGACTGAGATATTGACTGAGATGTTGACTTTCTGTCATGTCTAGACATTGATTTTCGTTCACGTTATTATTTTGATTTTTTGTCAAGTCGATATTTTGACTTTGATTTTGATTTTTTGTTAAGTTGATATGTTGATTTTGACATATAATGTTAAAAAAACATTGATTTGTTTCGTTGAGATATTGAAGTATAGTATAGATATGTTCTTCTGTCTTGTCAAGACGTTGATATGCCATGCCTAGATATTGATTTTTTTTTGTGTCGAAGTATTGGTCCATCAAATTGAGAATCCCATCTACATGGTTGAGAAGCTGACCCGCCTTGTCGAGAATTTTGTTTACACAGTAGATGTCTTTTTTATTGTTCTTGCTATTGTTAATGTTGTCACCGCTGTTGGTGTTTAAATTGCCGCCGTCTTTGTCGCAGCTGTTGATGTTTGGATCAACGTTGTTGTTGATGTTAATGTCGTTTAAGTTGCCGCCGTCTTTGTCGCAGCTGTTGATGTTAATGTCGTTTAAGTTGCCGCCGTCTTTGTCGCAGCTGTTGATGTTAATGTCGTTTAAGTTGCCGCCG